GTTCGAGAACTGGTGAGGTGTTGACTCTGGTCGACTCTCCCTTTTATTAGGACCTTTCACATAGACCCAGTACAGTGTACTTGCGTTGACCCCAGTTGCATAGGGCTGTCCGAATACATGCTGTTGTCCATTTCCATTTGGCTCTCGTTGACTTGTTGACTTCCGTTGACTCTTTGCTTGACACAAGTTCTGCTACATGGACCCCATGCGAGGCACATGCAACGACCCCAATCGATCAGAATATGCCGACCTTCGTTGACTCTTGTTGATTCTCTCTTGATTCTCTACTTAATTCTCTGCTTGATCTCGTACAGGTTCTGCTACATGGACCCTATACGAGGCACGTGCAACGACCCTAACTACGTCAGACCAGCTGATAACGAGGTGACCCTTGGGATCTCCAGACGCAATGCCACTGTTATTGCTGCTGATCGTGCTGGTGCTCGTGGTGCTGCTGCTGGTGGTGCTGCTGCTCGTGGTGTTACGCTCACTGCTCGTCAGCACCCCACTAACACACTTCGCACACGTTCCACTGCTGCTCTTCACGCGGTTGGCCATTCCGCTGTGACTGATGCTGCTTCTGCTTCAGATAGCAATCGCCTCCTTGCTTCCCCTGGAGCACCTGACAGGAGTGCTGCAGCTAGAGCCACCGCAACCGGAGCAGGAGCAGGAACAGGAGCAGGAGCAGGAGCAGCAGGATCAGGAGCAGGAGCAGCAGGAGGAAGAACACAAGCAGGAGCAGGAGCAGGAGCAGGCGGAAAAACAGGAGCAGGAGCAGCAGGACCAGGAGCAGCAGCAGGAGGGGTCGGAAATGCGCTTAAGATCAAGCCACCAGTGGCGGGGAAACAGAGAGCGTTGTCACCTGCAGCAGCGGATAGGATCAGAGGAGTGGCTGAGACCACGAGATTGAGCGATGCCAAGAGAGTGAGTGAGGAGAAGAGAGTGGGTGAGGGAGGAGAGGAGGTGAGGAGAGAAGTGGGCACGGTCCAGTTGCTGGTCCAAGCAGACCAAGAGCGACGGAAGCAGGTGGAGAAATGGGAGCAGGACGAGCAGGAAGAGCAGGTGGGGAGAGAGGAGAAGCCGGGGAGCGGGGGTAGGTGGGGCAAGTGGAGAAGAGGGGCTGCCACAAGGGGGAAGAGGAGGTGGGAAAGAGGAGCAGCAGGGGAAAGGGGTGGAGTGGGCGCACGTGGAGAGAGGGGGTCGCCACATGGGGGGGGGGGAAACAATCCAGAAGAGGCGAGGAAAAGAAAGATGATAGAGGAAGGGGGTTTCCATAGAGGAACGCAAATACGGGTAAAGGAGGAGCCGAGGGATCATGGCGGGCTGGAGTTAGGAGTGGAGAGAAGGGAAAACAGGGCAGGAGTAGAGAGAAGGGATCATAGAGAAACAGGTAGAGACATAGAGAGGAGGGAGCATGCGGGAACAGGGGTAAGGGGGGGTCAAGGAGTAGGAGTAGGAGGAGGAGCAGTAGAGAGACGGAGCAACACACGGCCTTCAGCACTGGCACAAGGTAGCAGTAGAGGGCCCTCAGCACCAGCACAGAATGACAGCAGAGGGAAGGCTGTGCTGGTGAAGCAGGAGGCAGAGGAAGAGAGGGGCGTTGCGGGGCATAGCGCTGGAGGCAGAGGAGGTATGGGAGCAGCAGCAGGGAGAGCAGCAGGGAGTGGAGCAGGGTTGTCGTTCCGCCGTGCTTCTGCTGTATGCCCCTCTGGTCGTCTTGGACCCGTTGCTACTGGTCCTCCATCTGCTTGTGCAGCAGCAGCTGCTGCTGCTCCTGGTTCTGCGGCTGCTGCAGGGGCGGTGGATGAGAGGGAGGAGGGAGAGGAGGTGGACAGCAGTGCCAGCAGTGGGGAGAGTGAGGAGGATGTGGTGATGTGGCACCACAGGCCGGCCAAGAGACGTGCCATCATGGATGATGATGACGATGAGCTTGAGGACGGAGAAGTGTAGCTTTAGCACTAAGGGCTATGGTTTGCATGAGTGAATGTCAAAGCTTGAGTTGTGTCATTAGTAGCAGAATGAGTTGAGTGTTTTTTATGGTGAAAGTTGGTTTGTCTTTTGATTAGTTGAAGGAATCATAGCATTGAAGTATGTTCCTGCAGAAGCAGTGAACGGCGGAGTGGGCTAAAAGAATACCAGAACAATCAGGAACATCCTATTATATCGTAAGCTGTTCAGGAGTAAGATCGTCAATGTGGCCGTAGCTGTTCTTACTGACGCTTTTTCCCTACAAATTGCATTTCTTACCTTCATTTTAGCCAGTTGTGACGCCTTCTTATTCTTATCTAAATGTTTTTCTTGACGCGTACATGGGTGTGTCAGAACCTAGATTGTGTCGCAATGTTCCTGGAGGCTCCCCAGAGGCTGGATCTTTCTTCAGTGGCAGAATTCGGTCTGGTAGACAGAGCCCAGAGCAGCGAATACCCTACTGACAAGCGAATTCTGTCTGCTCTCCTGCCACTGTTGGGGCGGTTCGGTGAACCACAACGGTCACCGTGTACTGTAGCTATCTTGACCTCCTGGGCTCTCCGGTCGAGCCGGCTAGGCAGCAGAGTTGCGCCGACCCTATTTTCGATCGCATCGCGACCCTATTTTCGATCGCATCACGACCTTTGCATCGCGATCAGCTGATTCTTCGCGTGGCGTGCTCCTCCCCACTTCACGGCGGGGTGGCCAACCATGGCCTCCGCGAAGGGGGTACTGCGGAACGTGCAGGCGCAGGAGGAGGCGTCTCCGCATTCCCCGCGGGAGGGGGGAGTCCTGCGCAACGATGAGCTGGCGCGCCAGCTGGAGCAACTTAAAGACATCGACGCGCTGCAGGTTGGCTGTATAGTCTAGTAACTTAGGACTACTTTCTTAGTACTCGCTGCAGGTCGGCTTTCTAAACGCGTATGCTTTTGTAAGTGCACGATGCAGGCCGAGTATGTAGCTGCGTAGATTCATTTCAAAGTCGTGATAGTGTACGTAATTCGGGTTCTCGGGTTGCAAGTGGTCTAATAAAGTTCGACCCTAGAGCATTGTCGTTAGTGTCCCGTCCTCCTAATATCGCGTATGAGTGGACCGACGAACTTTCAGCGTGATTCATAACGTGCGATTGCTTTTACACTCACATGTACGTCCGATGAAAGTCTTTCGAAGGGCGTGTTTCCAGGCGTTTTACATATACGACCGCAGATCTTACGCTCGTTTTTGCTCACTGCAGCACTGCTGGAGGAGGTGATATCTGCACTGAAATCTCCCGCCTTGCCCCTTCCACCTTCCCCCCTTCCCCCACCTCTCCCCTTCCACCTTATAGGCCTTAGCACACAGCATGGTGGCAGGGGGAAGGAAGGCTCATCTGTGCTCAGTGCGGCTTAGCTGGGGGAGGTGTATCTGCGCTGAAATCTCTCAAGTTTCTCTTCCCCCCTCCCCCCTCCCCCTACCTCTCCCCTTCCCCCCTATAGGCCTTAGCACACAGCATGGCAGCCGGGGGAAAGGAAGGCTCGTCTGTGCTCACTGCGGCTCAGCTGGGAGAGGTGATATCTGCGCTGCAGGCGCAGGTGCAGGCTGAGGTGGCGACGCACCATGACGAGCTGCTGCAGCAGTTATCCTCGTTAAAAGACACTGAGGGCGTGCTCTCTGTGGTGCGCGCTGGAGTCGACTCTTTACTAGCCTCCGTCCAGGTGCGTTCTGGTGTGTGCGTGTTTCTGAGAGTTGGGGTGGTGAAGGTGGGACAGAGGGTAGAGGGCATTTTTGAAGTCCTGTTCAAATTTCCCCGGGGGACCCTGAAATCCTGTTCAATTCACTCTGACTACCAACCATAGCCGTCTCTTTTTTTCTGCGTCTTTCTTTTATTCCTGCCCGGCAGCGTGTGCGGGCAGAGATAGCGGACCCGTATCGAGCCATTCAGGTGAAGACACGCCAACTAACAGCGCTGTACGACACCATGGAGCTGCTAAGAGCCGTCATTAAATACCTCAAGCTGGTGAGTGGATACTAATCTCCTGGTGGTGGCGAGTATAGTTTTGAGGCGCTGAACTAGACCTCTACCAGGCAGCGCTGTACGACACCATGGAGCTGCTAAGAGCCGTCATTAAATACCTCAAGCTGGTGAGTGGATACTAATCTCCTGGTGGTGGTGAGTATAGTTTTGAGGCGCTGAACTAGACCTCTACCAGGCAGCGCTGTAAGACACCATGGAGCTGCTAAGAGCCGTCATTAAATACCTCAAGCTGGTGAGTGGATACTAATCTCCTGGTGGTGGTGAGTATAGTTTTGAGGCGCTGAACTAGACCTCTACCAGGCAGCGCTGTACGACACCATGGAGCTGCTAAGAGCCGTCATTAAATACCTCAAGCTGGTGGGTGGAGAATTAGACCTTGTAAACCGCTCTATAGTCAGTGGATAATCTTGTGCGTTAAATGACATGTAAGCAGAAAAGCTATCATGTTGTTTGTGGATATTAAATATTCCTCGTGGGGTAGTAGAACGGAGACCTATCCAGAGTAAGTTGGTGGTTTCATGCCTCTGAATTCCTGCATTTGCGTGCCATTCCCTTTGCTTCACCGCTCTCTCCTTATTTCCACCCTTTGCTTTCCGTCGCCTTTCCCTTCCTTTCTACCAACCACGTCTCTTCCTACTCTGCCACTCTACAACCCTCAACCCCCTCCCCTCCTCCCATCTCTCTTCCAACTCTGCCGCCCTGTGTCTCTCACCCCCCTCCTCCCGGCCCTCCCCCCTTGTTCGCGCAAGTTGCGCGAGCACCTGTCATCTGGCGTGGAAAAGGCAGAACTATTCAAGACGGGGCAGGCTTGGCAGGAGGTGGAGACGGTTCGGAGGGAGGCGCAGCTGGGGGGGGTGCATCTGGTGGACGGGCAGCAGCAGTGGGTGGGGGAGGCAGGGTAGGACGTAGCATGAGTAAGAGACTTGGAAATAAATAAAAAGCAAGTCCCCTTCTCTCCTCTCCCCCTTCCCCCCTTCCCACACTCCTCTTTCCGTCCCTCCTTCCTCTGACCCTCCCTAGGTGCGCAAGTTGCGGGAGCACCTATCATCAGGGGTGGAAAAGGCCGAGCTGAGCAAGGCGGGGCAGGTGTGGCAGGAGGTGGAGACGGTCCGGAGGGAGGCGCAGCTGGGGGGGGTGCATCTGGTGGACGGGCAGCAGCAGTGGGTGGCGGAGGCAGGGCAGGCGATCAGAAGGGAGGCGATGAAGTCGCTGGAAGCAGGGATGGAGGCGATGAACCAGGCTGAAGTGGGCAGCGTGCTGCAGGTGTGAGGGGTTTGGGTTTGGGTTTTGGGTTTTGGTTTGGGTTCTGGTGTCCATATTTCGGGTTTCTAGAGGGGTGTAACAGAGTTTAGGCGGGGAGGGAGGGCAGACGATCAGGATGGAGGCGATGAACCAGGCTGAAGTGGGCAGCGTGCTGCAGGTGCGAGGGGTTTGGATTTGGGTTTTGGGTTTTGGTTTGGGTTCTGGTGTCCATATTTCGGGTTTCTAGAGGGGTGTAACAGAGTTTAGGCGGGGAGGGAGGGCAGACGATCAGGATGGAGGCGATGAACCAGGCTGAAGCGGGCAGCGTGCTGCAGGTGCAAGGGGTTTGGGTTGGGGGTAGAGAGAAGAAAGAGAAGGAAGAAGCAACTTCAGCATGTCTGGGCAGGGATCAGGAGATAGGTGATGAGGAGGACATTAGATGCAGGGCTGGAGGCGATGAACCAGGCTGAAGTGGGCAGTCTATTTTATAGGTGCCTCAAAGAAAGGTGACGAGGAGGGCATTAGATGCAGGGATGAGGAGGACGCAATCAACCAGGCTGAAGTGGGCAGCGTGCTGCAGGTGAGAAGGGGTAGGGGGGTAAGGGTGGGGAGGGAAAAGAGGTAGGGATGAGCTGCACTAGACCAGGTGGGTGGTGATCTCTTATAACGAAGCAGGCCACTCCCGCCTCTTTTTCCCTCCCATTCCCGTGCTCTTATCACGCCTCTCCTCCTACTCAGGTGCTTTTCAGCATGGGCCTTCACTTTTTCTCCCCTCCGTTTCCTTCAGGTTTTTTTCAACATGGGCAAGCTATAAGAGACAGACTGTGGACCAGCGGCGGGCGTCACATCACATGCTCTCCTGTTTGGAAAAGGAATCCCCCACATCTCTATCACTGCCTCTTATTCTCTCTCAGGTGTTCTTCAACATGGGCGAGCTGCGCCCCACAGTGGACCAGCTGGTGGCGAAGCACAAGGGGCAGGCGATGAGGGCAGTGGCCACCGGGCTCGACATGAAGGTGTGTGTCCTTAACCCTAAACCCCGAAACCCGTGAAGCCCCGTGAAGCACAAGCGTCAGGCCATGAAAGCAGTGGCCACCCCACTGGGCTCGACATGAAGGTAGGCATCCCCCTCTGATGCCCCTAAAAGCCCCTTCATGAAGCACAAGGGGCGGGTAATGAGAGCAGTGGCCACTGGGCTCGACATGAAGGTGTGTTTACGTATTTTACGAAGCTTTGCTATAAATGACTTCCAATACCCTCTTTAAGGAATCAAAAGATCTGAATTTTCTCCCTCTCTCACTCAATGATGTGCTGATTCCCTCAGAATTGTTTCTCTCTCCTCTCACCCATCTTCGTTGCCTGTGTGTGTTTCCTACCAGTTTTACAGTTTAATTGAGATATGAAAATGAGGATGCAATGTTGCCCGTTTTCCCCATTTTTCCTCCCTCCCATCTCTCCAAATCCAGAGTGAACACCACTTGGGTGCCATAGGTCTTAACGTGGCAGCAACTTTGAAAACGCTTAAGTAAAAATGAGTAGAGAGCTTGCTTGAAAAACTCTTGTGAAAAAATTGATGGTATCTCTTTTCCCCACTTTTCCTCCCTGTCATCTCTCCAAATCCAGGCAATCAGTGCAAGCATGGGAGCATCCGGGGGAGGTGGAGGCTTAGGAGGGTCTGTGGGTGGACCAGGTATGGTGCGGGGTTTGTAGACGACTATGGGAAGATGTAGGGAGATTTCGGTGGATTTATTTCATTTTATTTGAAGTACCATTAAGCAAGAGATGCTCTAGCAGAGGCCGATGGGATCCCTTGGTGATCTGGCATTGTAATGACATAGAGTCATAGACCTTATTAGTCACTTGATCCGCTTCGCCTCGTTCTCTTTTTTCCTCCCTCTCCTAGGAGGAGCCATGCGGAGCGGCACACCTCCAATGGGAGGGGCACCCCGAGCCAGGGAGGCTCTCTGGCAGAGGCTGACAGGATGCCTGGATGAGCTGGCGCGTGTGATGGTGCTGACGTGGCACCTCCAGCGAGTGATGGCGAAGAAACGAGACCCCATCTCACATGTGGTGTTCCTGGATCATGTGCTACAGGTGGGTGCTGCTACAGGTGGGTGCTGCTACAGGTAACAGGTGGGAGCTGCTACAGGTGGGTGCTGCTGCAGGTGGGAGCTGCTACAGGTGGGAGCTGCTACAGGTGGGTGCTTCTACAGGTGGGTGTTGCTACATGTGGGTGCTGCTACAGGTGGGTGCTGCTACAGGTGGGTGCTGCTGCAGGTGGATGCTGCTACAAGTGGGTGCTGCTACAGGTGGGTGCTGCTGCAGGTGGGTGCTGCTGCAGGTGAGTGCTACATGTGAGTGCTACATGTGAGTGCTACCGGTGAGTGCTACCGGTGAGTGCTACAGGTGAGTGCTACAGGTGAGTTCTACAGGTGAGTGCTACAGGTGAGTGCTACAGGTGAGTGCTGCAGGTGAGTGCTGCAGGTGAGTGCTGCAGGTGAGTGCTGCAGGTGAGTGCTGCAGGTGAGTGCTGCAGGTGAGTGCTGCAGGTGAGTGCTGCAGGTGAGTGCTGCAGGTGAGTGCTGCAGGTGAGTGCTGCAGGTGAGTGCTGCCACACATTGGGGTTGTGCGCCGGCTACAGGTGGGGGAGAGTGAAGGGGCGGACCAGGGGCTGCGAGTGTGGGAGGCACTGGTTTGGGCGTTTGCCTCTCAGCTACAAGCCAATTGTCATGTCCCATGCCATCTTTTGTTCGACCCTCCTGTTTTTCTCTGTCTCCCCTCCCTTACCCTCACTCTCCCAGTCAGGGGATGTCCTCCCCACGGAGCGGGTGTGGGAGGCGCTGGTGAGGGCGCTCTCCTCTCAGCTTCGAGCCACGTTCACCGCCTCCTCCTCTCCTGTTCAACCCTTTCCTCCTTTGTCGCTCTGTCCCTCCTTCCTCCCCTGCCCACCCCCAGTCAGGGGACGTTCTCCCCACGGAGCAGAGCGGGTGTGGCCCCACCGCGTGGGAGGCGCTGGTGCCGGCGTTCGCCTCTCAGCTTCGAGCCACGTTCACCGCCTCCTCCTCTCCTGTTCAACCCTCCCTCCTGTTCAACCCTCCCTCCTCTGTCTCTCTGTCTCTCCTTCCCACCTCCCCCCTTTCCAATCCAACGCCCCCGTTTCGCTGCAATCCGCAGTCAGGGGACGTCCTCCCCACGGAGCGGGTGTGGGAGGCGCTGGTGCGGGCGTTCGCCTCTCAGCTTCGAGCCACGTTCACCGCCTCCTCCTTTGTCAAAGAGACGTTCGTCTCCGCCTACCCGCGCCTCTTGGCGTCTATTGAGGGGTTTTTGGACCGTCTACAGGCGGATACAGATGTCCGGGCGCTTGGGGGAGGGGGAGGAGCTGGATTGGGAGGAGTTGGTGGGAGTGGGATGGGAGGAGGGGGAGGAGTGGGGGGTTCGTGGGCGAATGGAGGCACGCCACCTGTCATCTCGGCGGAGCATCGAGCGCAGCTGATGGCTGCAGTGGAGCCGTTCCAGGTGGGTAGGTGGGTGGGTGGGTAGGCGGGTGGGTGGGTGGGTGGGTGGAGGGGGGGAGGGGCGGTTGGATGGATGGAAGCACACAGCACACCACGCACGCCACCTGCCATCACGGCGGAGCATCGAGCGCAGCTGATGGCTGCAGTGTAGCCGTTCCAGGTGGGTGGGTGGGTTGGGTGGATGGGTGGGTGACTTTGTGACGCTTTCTGCGCATCTTTTCCCCAACCTGACCCGCTTGCTCTCCTGAATGACCCACCCCATGGATGCAATGATGCCAGCAGCAGGCGGGGGGAGGGGAGGGGCGGTCCTGGGCTAGGCCCTAGGGGGGGGTGAGTCTTATAGCGAGGATGGATGGATGACGGAGGTTTTGGGGACAGTCTCAAAGACAGAGTTGGTTTCTTCTCTTGCCTCTGTGCTGCACTTCCCCTGCCCCCCCTTCCCCACCACCCAGGTTGCATACTTGACCCTCTCACTCTCCCGGATGACCGACCCGATCAATGCAATGATGCCAGCAGCAGGGGGGGGGAGGGGGGGGGTTCCGGGGCCTGAGGCAGGGTTGAGGCTTATAACGAGGATGGAGGAGGAGGTGGAGGCAGTGAAGGGGAACGGGCGGCTGCTGCGACTCGTGCTGGCGAGTGCCGGCAAGGCGCTGCAGCTGCTGGCAGAGCGATGCGAGTACCAGGTGAGAAGTATGGTGTGTGTTGAGATTGGTAGGTGGGATGTGGCATAGAGGGGGGTGGGAAATAGTGTGGCATCAGGAAGTGCATTGGCGTGTGATAGTAATATCGTTTCAATTTTACTCAAAACGATATTACCATTACACTGTGGCATAGAGGAGGGTGGGAAGTAGTGTGGCATCAGGAAGTGCATTGGCGTGTGATAGTAATATCGTTTCAATTTTACTCAAAACGATATTACCATTACACTGTGGCATAGAGGAGGGTGGGAAGAAGTGTGGCATCAGGAATTGCATTACCTGGCGCTCTGTGCGTGCTGCTGGGAGCTGTGCACTGCACTCTGATTTCTTGCCTCCCTCTCATCCCCCCCCCCCCTCTGCTCCCCCATCCACCCCTTGTAGGTCCCCTGAACTCTCCAGGTCGCTCCTTGTCCAGAGTCCCAGCAGGTACTAGCCCCCTATCCCCCATCCCAGCAGCGCAACATCGCCCTGTCCGCGCTGCTGGGAGCCGTGCACACGCGCTGCATGCACCTGCTCGTTATTCTCCCTCTTTCCCCTCATCCGCCCGTTGCTGCTTCCCTGCTTTCAGGTGGCCACTGGCCCGGAGTCCCGGCAGGTCCTGGCCCCCTGCTCGCCATCCCAGCAGCGCAACATCGCCCTGTGCGTGCTGCTGGGAGCCGTGCACACGCGCTGCATGCACCTGCTGGCGCGGCTCCCCGAAGAGGCTGATGCTGTGATGGAGGCGGGTGTGGGGTCCGTGCACGGTGTGGCGATGGACGCTGTTGCTCCACTGTTCAAGGTGTGCTCTCATGTTCCATGCACGCGGTTGTGTTGGGTCGCGCTGCAGGCACCTGGTCGCATGGGACCACAGGTGTTTGGTCCGTGCAGGGTGTGGCCATGCACGCTGGAGCTCCACTGTTCAAGGTGTGCTCTCATGTTCCATGCACGCGGTTGTGTTGGTTCGCGCTGCAGGCACCTGGTCGCACGGGACCACAGGTGTTTGGTCCGTGCACGGTGTGGCCATGCACGCTGGAGCTCCACTCCTTAAGGTGGCCCTGTGTTCTGTGGATGGGCTTGAGTCTGCCATTTGATGACATGGAGGCGGGAGTGGGGTCTCTGCACACTGTTGCGATGGACAGACGCTGTTACGGCCGCTGTTCAGGGTGAGCTTGTGTGCCAAGCTGACTTTTGAGTCGACTCAAAGGTGAGCTTGTGTGCCAAGCTGACTTTTGAGTCGACTCAAAGGTGAGCTTGTGTGCCAAGCTGACTTTTGAGTCGACTCAAAGGTGAGCTTGTGTGCCAAGCTGACTTTTGAGTCGACTCAAAGGTGAGCTTGTGTGCCAAGCTGACTTTTGAGTCGACTCAAAGGTGAGCTTGTGTGCCAAGCTGACTTTTGAGTCGACTCAAAGGTGAGCTTGTGTGCCAAGCTGACTTTTGAGTCGACTCAAAGGTGAGCTTGTGTGCCAAGCTGACTTTTGAGTCGACTCAAAGGTGAGCTTGTGTGCCAAGCTGACTTTTGAGTCGACTCAAAGGTGAGCTTGTGTGCCAAGCTGACTTTTGAGTCGACTCAAAGGTGAGCTTGTGTGCCAAGCTGACTTTTGAGTCGACTCAAAGGTGAGCTTGTGTGCCAAGCTGACTTTTGAGTCGACTCAAAGGTGAGCTTGTGTGCCAAGCTGACTTTTGAGTCGACTCAAAGGTGAGCTTGTGTGCCAAGCTGACTTTTGAGTCGACTCAAAGGTGAGCTTGTGTGCCAAGCTGACTTTTGAGTCGACTCAAAGGTGAGCTTGTGTGCCAAGCTGACTTTTGAGTCGACTCAAAGGTGAGCTTGTGTGCCAAGCTGACTTTTGAGTCGACTCAAAGGTGAGCTTGTGTGCCAAGCTGACTTTTGAGTCGACTCAAACGTGAGCTTGTGTGCCAAGCATCTGTGGTCTACCAGCAGGAATCCGCTGAGAGGTTTTTGGGAATTCTAAAAAAGCGTTTTTGGTCTACCAGCAGGAATCTGCTTCCAGAAATTGTCTGAAGTGTCTGTGAGACTGTCTCCTCTTTCGTCCTCACCTCTTCCTCTATCGCCGTACCCCTGTGCTTGTATGTTTGAGTCGACTCAAAAGTCACCTCTATCGTCGTAACCCTGTGCTTGTATTTCTCCGCAGGCCATGAGGGATCGAATCGAATCGAATCGAATAGAATCGAATCCTGTCTGCTTCAGATCCACCAGCAGCAGGACTTCGCCTCAAAGGACCCAAACGCCCCCCTCTCCGCCCCTCCCGTTTCCCTGACTGCTCTGTTTCCCTGACTGCTCTGTTTCCCTGGCTGCTCTGTTTCCCTACACAACCCTCCCTTCCTCTCTTTCAGGCCATGCGGGACCGCATCGAGGCCTGCCTTCTGCAGATCCACCAGCAGGACTTCGCCTCGGACGACCCCAACGCGCCTCCCTCCTCCACCACCCCGCCTCCCCCCGGCGCCGCCTCAAGAAACCGCCAGAACAGCAGCAGCGGGGGCTCGAGGGCAACCCAGAAACAGCAGCAGCAGCAGCATGAGTCAGCAGGGGACAACTGTTCCCCATACATGGAGAACACCCTCCGTGCCATCACTCATTTCCACACTGAGTTTCTCTCCAAGCTTCTCCCCCCTGACTCCTCTTCCTCTGCGATGGCTCTCTCGACACCTGCTTCGTCCATATTCGCTGCGTCCCTGTCTGGTGCTGCCGCCTCGGGTCCTCTCTCGCCGTCCACCGCCCTGCCTCCTGCATCTGTGTCCGAACCCGTTGCACAGTCTCTTGCGAAACGGTAAGCTTGCACCCGCGTCCGCGCACACACTATCACGCACCCCCTCACACACACTCACGCACGTTTGCTGCACCTGCTGCTAAACCCCTCCCCGCTCGACCCGTCTCGTCCCGGCATTGCATGCACTGCGCCCGTCTCGTCCCAGCATGGCATGGCATGGCATGGCATTGCATTGCATTGCACTGCGCTTGCCTTAAACGGTCCTCGTCTCCTCCCCTCCCAGCCTCGCATCCCGCAGCCTCCCCTTCCTTGTCCACCATGCCTATCTCGTTTACACTACACACCTTTTCTTCCATTCCCCTCTCCCCCCCCCTCCCCTCCCAGCCTCGCATCCCACAGCCTCCTCTTCCTTGTCCGCCATGCCTCGTTCGTTGGCTGACCTCTCCGTTTATATCACACCTACTTTCTCTCCTCCCCCTCCCCTTCCCCCTCCCCCTCCCCCTCCCCCTCCCCCTCCCCCTCCCCCCCCAGCCTCGCATCCAGCATGCTCCTCTCCTTTTCCGCCACGCCCCGCTCGTGTGCCCATTGGTTAGCCTTTCCGTTTATAGTATACCCACTTTCTCCCCCCCGGCTCCCAGACTGGCATCCCGTACGCTGCTCTTCTTCGCCCGTCACGCCTCTCGCGTCTGCCCTTCAGTTGGCCTCTCCATTTATACTTCACCCACTTTCTCCCCTCCCCCCCTCCCCTTCCAGCCTGGCATCCCGCACGCTGCTCTTCTTTGTCCGTCACGCGTCTCTCGTGCGTCCGCTCTCAGAGGCCGGTCGCCTGCGCCTAGCCCGAGACATGGGCGAGCTGGAGTTCGCAGTGGGGCAGCACCTCTTCCCCAACCATGCTCTCGGGCCGTCCTACCGTGCCCTGCGTGCCTTCCGGCCCTTGCTGTTTCTGGACTTGGATAAGATCCCCACCAGCTCGCTTCTGCAGGTGAGTCTGCTGACAGGAAGGTGAATGTGACTGCATTGGCTGTGCTAATGTGGAGTTCGCAGTAGGGCAGCACCTCTTACCCAACCATGCCCTGAGAGCCTCCTACCGTGCCCTCCGTGCCTTCCGGCCGCTCACTTCCCTGAGCTCACTTCCCTGAGCTCACTTCCTTGGGCACACTTCCCTAAGGTTAGCTCACTTCTCTGAGGTGAGCTCACGTCCCTGAGCTCACTTCGCTGAGCCCACTTCGCTGAGCTCACTTCACTGAGCTCACTTCCTTGAGCTCACTTCCCTAGGCTCATTTCCCTTAGCTCAGTTCAGTGAGCTCAGTTCCCTGAGGTGAGCTCCCTTCTTTGAGCTCACTTCCCTGAGGTTTCTCACTTCCCTGAGCTCACAACCCTAAGGTGAGCTCACTTCCCTGAGCTCACTTCCCTAAGCTCACTTCCTTGAGCTCACTTCCCTGAGGTGAGCTCACTTCCCTGAGCTCACTTCCCTAAGCTCACTTCCCTGAGGTGAGCTCACTTCCCTGGGCTCACTTCCCTAAGCTCACTTCCTTGAGCTCACTTCCCTGAGGTGAGCTCACTTCCCTGAGCTCACTTCTTTCAGTTTTCTCTCCTGAGGTGAGCTCACTTCCCTGAGCTCACTTCCCTGAGCTCACTTCCCTGAGCTCACTTCCCTCAGCTCACTTCCCTCAGCTCACTTCCTTCAGCTCATTTCCCTGAGCTTACTTCCCTGAGCTCACTTCCCTAAGCTCTTTCCCCGAGCTCACTTCCCTGAGGTGAGCTCAGTTCCCTGAGCTCAATTCCCTCAGCTCACTTCCTTCAGCTCATTTCCCTGAGCTTACATCCCTGAGGTGAATGGGTGAATGGGTGCATGGGTGGATGGATATATGAGTGTATGGGTGTATGAGTGCATTCGTGGATGGGTGTATGGGTGAATGGGTGTATGGGTGTATGGGTGTATGTGTGGATGGGTGTATGGGTGTATGAGTGTGTGGGTGTATGGGTGTATGGGTGTATGGGAGAAAGAGTGTATGGGTGTATGGGTCTATGAGTGTATGGGCGAATGGGTGTATGGGTGAATGGGTATATGGGTGTATGGGTGTATGGGTGTTTGGGTGTATGGGTGTATGGAGGTATGGGTGTATGGGTGTATGCGCGTATGGGTGATGGGTGTATGGGTGTATGGGTGTATGGGTGTATGATTGTATGGGTGTATGGGTGTATGGGTGTATGGGTGTATGGGTGTATGGGTGTATGGGTGAATGAGTGTATGGGTGTATGGGTGTACGGGTGTATGGTTGTATGGTTGTATGGGTGAATGTGTGAATGGGTGTATGGGTGAATGGGTTTATGGATGTATGGGTGTATGGATGTATGGGTGTTTGGGTGTCTGGGTGTATGGAGGTATGGGTGTATGCGCGTATGGGTGATGGGTGTATGGGTGATGGGTGTATGGGTGATGGGTGTATGGGTGATGGGTGTATGGGTGTATGGGTGTATGGGTGTATGGGTGTATGGGTGTATGGTTGTATGGGTGTATGGGTGTATGAGATCCCCACCAGCTCACTCCTTGAGGTCAGTCCGACAGCCTATTGACAGTAGAGAAAGAATGACTGTGAGACGTCTCGAAACAGACGTGCTTTTAGACGTCTCGAAACAGACGTGCTTTGAGACGTCTCGAAACAGACGTGCTTTGAGACGTCTCGAAACAGATGTGTGCCTGGCCCCGCTGCTTCCTGTGGCTGGGCCCGCACTCGAAGCAGCAGCAGAGCAGCAATCAGGGGAGCACACACACAATGCATTACCACTTCTCGTGCCTTTCCAGAGATTCTGAGTGAACTCAAAAGCAGAGTCAGCCCATTACATCACCACTTCTCCTGTGCTTTTCCAGAGATCCTGAGTGATTTCACTCTCATTTGAACTCAGCCTCATTCCTGCTTCTCCCCCCCCCTCTTTATCATCCCTCTCTCCTCTAATCCCGCAACCCAGGATCTCCCTCCAAGCGTCGTCCTGCACCATCTCTTATCCCATGGTCCCCCAGAGCTGCTTTGCGTTTCCCCACTCTCCGTTTCACCTTTTTTTCCTCTAATCCCGCAACCCAGGACCTCCCTCCAAGCGTCATCTTGCACCACCTCTTCTCTCGCAGGCCGTCCGAGCTGCTCTCACCCCCATCCCTCACCCGCCCCCCTCAGGACCTTCCCCCAAGCGTCGTCTTGCACCATCTCTTCTCCCGCGGGCCACCCGAGCTGCTCTCCCCCTATGCGCGCATCCAGCAGCCCCCGGCGCGCTACTCCCTGTGGATGGACCAGCACAGCGAGCAGCAGGCATGGCAGGGGATAAAGGCTTCTCTAGATGACTATGTGGGGAGTGTGAAGGCGAGGGGAGGGAAGGAGTTCCACCCGGTGTACCCAGTGATGCTGCAGCTGGGGCAAACTCTGCTAGGGGGCGCAAATGAGGGGAAGTAAGGGGTAGGTGTGACCTGGTGTGGCTACTGGGGCAGATGCTGCTTGGAGGGGGGGGATGAGGGGAAGGGAGTACGTCACTCTGTGGCTGGACCAGCACTCGGAGCAGCAGGCGTGGCAGGGAATCAAGGCATCCCTGGATGACTATGTGGGCAGCATGAAGGCAAGGGGAGGGAAGGAGTTCCACCCGGTGTACCTGGTCATGCTGCAGCTGGGGCAAATTCATCTAGGGGACGTGAATGAGGGGAGGTAGAAGTTCCTTCCATTGGGGAGTATTGTGGGTGGGGGGGTGTTAGAAATAGACTGCGAATACTACTTTTGTATTTGTACTTTTATATCCTAGTTTAGGTTATGAATGTTCTAGTGGGTTAGGGTGTACTCACAAATCCCAACCTCACCCAATTGTGATCCCCCCAATCTCCAATTACCCAATTAGAGATTCCGGAGATCCCAATGGGGATTCCCTCCAATTCTCCCTTCATCCATTCACTCTCACCTTGCCATGTACTTATAGAGCCTTGGGCTCCTTACATAATCAATCATTTCAACTATATTTCTTACATGGTATCAGAGCGATCTATCCGCACACGCGGATCAAGGTCCCAATCTTAACGTGCCCGCGCTACGCGCACTTCATCGTCGCGACATTCGTTTCGAGTCGTCGGAATTTCGACGTGCTCCACTCTGCGGTCGCGCCTCTCATCGTCGACCGCCTTCGCGCTCGACCTCGTCGAATTTCTCATCTCTGAAGCGTTCACGCTTCTCATCGTCGATTTCCTCATCGGTTCTCCTTGGTCGAATCTCAATTTCGACCATCTCTTAAAACCCGTTCTCGAGTTTCCCCTCAGACCCCGCCAGAATAGGCGAACTCCCCTCGCGAAATCGCCTCCACGAACGTCTCGCGTCAAATGAAGAGCAGGTACACAGGTTGAAGCGGAGCGGAGCTGGTTGCGGAGCTGGTTGCGGAGCTGGTTGCGGAGCTGGTTGCGGAGCTGTGTAGCTCCGGGACAGGGCCTGGGGGTGTGTGGGGGGGTGTGTGGGTCCGGGGTTAGACATAGGCTCAGATTTAGTTTCAAGTCGGCGTTTTAACGAATTTTCGCCGATGCCATTTCCTACTTAGCGGCATTTTGATGAATCCGTCAGAGTGATTTTCAACAATTCTCGTCGACCAATTTCCAGAAGTGTCGCGCTGCACACCGACAATGGCTTACTCAACCACTTCACTCGCCAACCCGATCCCGCTCCTTCGTCTCGAGCCGGACGGCACATGCTCCAACTACAAGGCTTGGCGCTATGGTGTCGACAAGCACCTCCTCAGTCGCGAGGTGAAGGGGCTCGAGCTCACCGACGTCATTCTCAACATCGGTGACGGCAAAGAGCCTCCTAAACCCGAGAGGTCCGCCGATCCAGCTAATGCCGCCGCCGAAGCAGTTTATGCTGCTGCACTGCTCAATTACAAGAATTGGGAGAAGGCCGATGGTGCGGTCATTAGTGTCTTCAGAGGCACCACTCCTCCCGAACTCGTCGAAATCTACCACAACTACCCGTCTGCCAACGCTATTTGGCTCTACCTCGAAGACCGCTTCCTGAACAAGACAGCAGTGGGAGTTGCTATACTCATCCCCAGCATGTTCCAAATGCGGCTCAAGGACTCGCCAGGCATGGCGGACTATGTCACCAAGGTGCAGTCCATTCATGGTGAACTCAAACAGTTGGGGATAGTCTTCCCCAAGCAAGCCCCTGCAGCCGCTCTCCTAGTCGGCCTCACTCCGGCATACGAAGTCACACACAAGATGCTCTTGGGCCTTGCTCCTGCAGACCTCACATTTGCCAAGGTCTCATCCGCGCTCCTTTCTGTCGAAAAGGACAACAGCGCTCAAGCCAAGGCCAATGCAATCCGCGCTCCCGTGCCTCAAGCCTATGCCGCTTCAGCGCCATTCCAGCGCAACCGCTTCTCCCCGTGTCCCTACGTCATCAAGCGCGGCCCTCGTGCTGGCCAGGTGTGTGGCGGCACCAACCACGCCCTTGCCTCCTGCTTTAAGAAGAAGGATGACGAGTGGTATGCCGTCAATGGGACCGCCTCCAAGCCGCCAAGCTGGATGGTCAATCGTGCTCCTCGCCAAGTCAATCAAGTCGAAGCGCAGGAATCCGTGCAGGCTGCTGTGGCTGCACCTGCTGATGTGCGCCTCAACATGTTGTTCCCTGGCACTGCCATGATTAATGAGACGATTTCGCAGTATCCTGGCTCACAAAGCACCTCAGCTACAATAGAGTTCACCCTCGACAGTGGGGCCACTCACACGGTTCTCAAGGAAGAACACTCCTTCAAGCTATACGAGACACCAATCCGTCTACTTGGAGCAGACTCCAGTTTCACAACACACGCCAAGGGCTCCTCCACAGTTCCGTGCCCAGCTTTTCCTTCGGGCAGTGTGACTGGCATGTGTGTTCCCACACTACGCCACAATCTCGTGGCCCAACACGAGCTCCAACGGGCAGGCGTCACCACGATCTTCCCACCACACTCGGATCACTGTGACCTCCTCGACCCTAAGTCCAACAAGCTCCTAGCACGCTTCACACTCAACAGTAGCAAGCTCTACACGCTGCGTTCACCTGCACCTCTCGCCGCCCTCTCCCAAGCGCAAGCTGCCAGCACCACTCCGTGTTCGTGTCACAGCTTTGCCAACCCAACCATCCTCTACCACCATCGCTTGGGTCACCCCAACTTCCGTACACTTGCCGACATCGCTTCCAAGAAACTTCTTCTTGGCCTCCCGTCGGCGCTTCCTCCACCAACAGACTCACCTGCACCCACCTGCCTAGACTGCACCAAGAGCAAGCTCAGGCAGCAGCCGCACCCTTCCTCCCCATCCGTCGCAGCTGCTCCGCTGGACCTAGTACACATGGATGTCTAAGGCCCAGCTCCAGTCGCATCCCGAGGCGGTCATCGGTAATTTCTTACACTAGTCGATGACCACTCGCGGTATGTTTCTGTGCACCTCCTGCATACCAAGGCGGAGGCACCCGATGTCATCATGGCGTGGGTGCGCCAGGCTCAAGTCACGTTCGGCACTCCTCTGAAGTGCCTCCATTCTGATGGCGGGGGAGAATTTCGCAATGGCAAACTCGATAACTTCTGTGCGGCCCAAGGGATTCGGCAAACCTTCACGCTCCCCGAAAGCCCGCAGCAGAACGGCATTGCAGAGAGCCGCAACCACACCTTGGTTCAGATCGCTCGCTGCCTCCTCAGTCACGCCAACGCACCACGGTCACTCTGGGGATATGCCCTCTTCCATGCGGCACTCCTCTACAATCTTTATCCGCATCCCCACCGGCCAGACACCACACCTACCGCTCTCTGGCTTGGGGTCACGCCTTCCGCCCGCTCTCTACGCGTCTGGGGGTGTACCGCGTATGTGTTGCTAAGCCCCCATACGCGCAGGAAGCAACGTGGCAAGCTTGGTCCCAAAACCCAGACCTGCATGTACCTGAGGCACAACTCCGACTCCCCAGACTACTTATTCCTCAACCCAATCACCAGACAGCTGATTCGCAGCCGTGATGTCGTCTTCGATGAGACACGCCCATTCCACGCTGCGACCACGGGCGAGCCTCCTCCACCTCCCCCGACGCTTGTTTGGGCAGACTTCGATGCCCCACCTCCAGCCGCTGCCCCTTCTCCGGGGCCTTCTCCGTCTGGCGTGTCTCACCCGGCCTCTCCAGTATCCTCCACAGCGGCACCTCCTCCTGCTCCGCCTTCCCCGCGCGTCGAGCCCGGCTCACCAGTCTCCTATCGGAGGCGCCCAGTCCCTCTGGTCCCACCGCAACCGCCTTCGTCTCCGGTCTCTAGTCGCACTCGTTCCAAGGGACCGGCTCCGCCTCTCGCCTGGGGACCAGCCGCCTTCTCCATCCGCTGTTCGGTCACCCCGCCTCCTCCTGCCGGGGGTGATGTCCCCTCCATCCGTATTCCCCCCCCGTGCACTTCTGGAGAGCATGGTGCAGGAGAAGAGGCGTGTTTCAAGCCGACTCAGAATGCTGGTGGTGGTGGTGTGAACGGCGCCATGTTCTTTTCCATCCCTCTGCCTCAGATTTTAGTCTCTTCGTTCGTCACTCCTCCGAGCCCTTCTACATCCTCGTCTACGTCGACGACTTCATTCTAGCCGCCAGAGATCCAGCCGACATGGCAGCTGTCCAGTCTGCTCTTAGCTCCGCCCTTCTCATGAAGGATCTTGGTGACCTCAAGAACTACCTGGGGATGGAGATCACTCGTGACCGCCAGGCTTGCACGATCATCCTCTCCCAGGAGTCCTACATTGACAACCTTCTCAAGCGGTTCGACATGGACTCCAGTAACTCTGTCTCCACTCCACTCCCACTACAGCATCAGCTCACGGCCCCTCCAGTTCCTTCTCCTGACGCCTGCAAGGACCCGTACCCTGAGCTAGTCGGTTCACTTATGTATGCCATGATGTGCACTCGACCAGACTTGGCTTACCCGGTTAGTGTCCTCTCTCGGTACGTCTCCCCCGGACGCTACACTGCCTCGCATTGGTCTGCAGCCAAGAGGGTCCTCCGCTATCTACAAGCCACCAAGTCTCACATCCTCAGTCTTGATGGTACCTCTCCAGTCAAGCTCGAGGGATATACGGACTCCTCATGGGCCGATGACCAGACTGACAGACGCTCCTCCCAAGGGTACTGCTTTACCCTTGGTAGCGGAGTCATCAGCTGGCGCTCCACTCGGTCCTCTGCAGTCTCCCTGTCGTCCTGCGAGGCCGAGCTCTACGCGGGCACAATGGCTGCTCAAGAGGCACGCTGGCTCTCCTTTCTCCTCGCTGAGTTAGGCTACCCCCAGCAGTCGCCCACCCTGTGGTGTGACAACCAGAGTGCCATTCACCTCACAAAGGATCCTGTGTTCCACTCTCGCACCAAGCACATCGAACTTCGTCATTTCTTCATCCGAGATCTTGTTCAGAGTGACCAGCTGACGGTACGGTACATCGCCTCAGATTGCAACCTCGCCGACCTCTTTACCAAGGCTCTCGGCAAGGCTGACCACCATCGCCTTCTCCGTTCCATGGGGCTATGTGCTTCTTGACCGGGTTTGCATACTATGGGGGTGTGTTAGAAATAGACTGCAAATACTACTTTTGTATTTGTACTTTTATATCCTAGTTTAGGTTATGAATGTTCTAGTGGGTTGGGGTGTACTCACAAATCCCAACCTCACCCAATTGTGATCCCCCCAATCTCCAATTACCCAATTGGAGATTCCGGAGATCCCAATGGGGATTCCCTCCAATTCCCCCTTCATCCATTCACTCTCACCTTGCCATGTACTTATAGAGCCTTGGGCTCCTTACCTAATCAATCATTTCAACTCTATTTCTTACAGAGGGGGGGGAGGGAGGGATGGTAAGGAGTTCCACGGTCCACCCCTGTTTACCCAGTGATGCTGCAGCTGAGGCACACGCTGCTCGCGGGAGGAGATGAGGGAAAGTAATGGGTAGGTATGACCGACGTCAAAGGCAAGG